GTCTAGGTCTATGAATATGCATAAGGAGGGCGGCGGGGCCGGGGCGAGGTGGAGATTGATTGAAGGAGGGTAGGGGTTGGTTGGTTAAGACACACATGGCTGTTCTTCTTCATTTCTCCAGTTTTTTTCTTTATACAAGGGATAAAAGCATGACGAATGAAATACACAATAACACACCTACATTCATACATACATACATAGATACACATACAAACACACGCATAGGAAGTTGATCTATTTGGAATCCAAATCAAGCCTATTTTTGATATTGGATATTTTCTCCATAATATTTCGACTTGAGATCAGTAGTTGGTTAATGGAAACGTGAATAGAAACTCTAAATAATGAATGAAGAGAAAATAAAGAAAAATGTTATTTTTTGTACTACAACATGTAACACACGTGTATGCATAAAAAGCCTACGTCCCCAGGGGGGAATAAACACTTATAACAGTGCTATTACCAGGTATCTCCTTGATACGGGTCATGAGGTGGAAATCGCGAAATCCTTGAAAATTATCAATAGACAAAGGAGCTCGATTCTCTTCTCCTCAAGTTTACCGAAGCTATTTCTATCAAACGCTTGAGATCGGATGAATGTGTGTTTTCAGAAAAAAGCAGTTAATAGCCTTTCCTTGCCCTGCCTGGTAACTGGACGTAATCTTTGGCTTTAACTTTATCGCACTTTGAAATAGTGTAACTTTGTTTGTCCCTCGTTTCTACAACTGCGTCGGTGGCGCAGTGGTTAGGACTCTCGCCGACCATGCACATGGTCCGGGGTTCGATCCCCTGCCGGCGCACACCCGATATCTATGGTCGGCCTGAATTTGGGCTACCGATATCCATGCTGAAAATTCCATACTTGTACTGAAAATACGGTGTGGAATCAAACTGTAAATCAAAATAAAAAAATCAAACTTGAGTTGAACTCCGTACATTGTTACCTAATTTATTAGTCACTCAACATCTTAAGCATCTCTCACATTTATTACGTAACTCCTTTACCATTCATTGTATGCAGGCATTTATTTTTGTTTAAACTTGAACTGCCTGTGTAAAAACTACTACTACATAAGCGCAATTTTCTGAGCACTGTTCATCATTAAGTTTGAAGCCTCTCTCCTGTCAACTGACACTATGAAAAATTTGCAAGTATGTTAAAACTTTTCCGTACATAAACCTCATAATTTATTTGAGGCTGTAAGCAAGCAGCTGAGCTGATGAGAAGCCAAGAAAGTAAGCGATGATGGTACCACATATTATTCTGCACAAACCACCACTGTTGTTCTTCTTGCTTTATTCAAATTCATTTTTTTTCCTTCACGTTCCCCAGCGGAACATAGAAAGGGCTTCAAGCTAGTGGCTTGAAGTTTCTGTAGCAGGGTTTATTTTACAGGATGGGGTTGCTAGCCTCATGCCCAACCAACCTTACCTCTTCACCAGCATTATTTCTGGCTTAGCGAGGTAAAGGAGTGCGTCTGTGGCCGGGGATCGAACCCCGGACCATGTGCATGGTCGGCGAGCGTCCTAACCGCTGTACCATCGACGCACCATTCAAATTCATTAAGTGGAATAAATGCATAACGTAACACAGACAACATGAAAAAGATAATGAGTGTTTTTAAAGAAAGTCTATATCTAGATCAATTCATACAATACACGACGAAGTGTGTCTATTACATAACCTCAATAGTTAAGCACTATTAAATACGCGCGAGCGCGCACAAACACACAGACATACACACACACGCGCGCATAGATATATGAATGTGTGTCTGTGTGTGTGTACATGATGTGGTAGTAAGAAGCTTCAGGTTTCATCATCACACCTAAACAAGCAATGCATATTTGTTTATATTGAACCAGTTACAGGAGAATTCATATAGATTTTCAATAATACGAATAGGCAAACAAAGCATAATGATAGAATATAATGAATCCTTTTGAAGGAAGTATATTTTATGTTATTTTTTTGATTAGACCTCGATTCCAAACCGTATTTTCTTTGGTACAGGTATGGAATTTTTAGCATATGATATCGGTAGCCTAAATTTTACAGGCCGACCATAGATATCAGGTGTGCGTCGGCAGGGAATCGAACCCCAGACCCTGTGCATAGTCGGCGAGAGTCCTAACCACTGTGCTACCGACTAAATATTCCAGAGTTAATTTCTACAGATTTGGTTTGCTTCAAGTCGCATCACAGAACCACTGAAAACTGAACTGAAGAGTAGACGTGACATCCGACTGGCTATCGACCAAAGGGTGTGTGTACTGCTCAACAGTCCGCTCTGTCTCCCTTCATAGCTGTGAGACCCGGCCATTGAGAGTGGAAGACATGAAAAGATTAGCTGTCTTTGATCATAGGTGTCTGCGTTCTATCTCCCGTTTGAAATGGTATACACTGAGGTGAGCAATATTGAGGTTAGGCATCGGTCGAGTGCTAGGTAAGGAGGGGAAATCCATCGACGAGGCTGTGAAATTACTTCGACTGAGATGGTTAGGACATGTGTTACGTATGCATGAGTAGTCATCGCCTTCCTCGACCAACGGGCAATGTTAGCTGATATAGGGCCAGACTGGAAAAGAGCTAGCGGCGGTCAAACGGAAAAATGGTACCAGTCAATGAAATCTACAACAGTTAGTCTGAGCCGGTCACGTAGGAAGGTGTAGACTTCCTGACTGGTTGGGGTCCTCGGGACGATAAAAACCAATGGTTGGAAATAATTGGTGACATGGCGCAAACTCATCGTTCTCAATGGCGCAGATGCATCCACTCCTAGTGACATATGATTTCCAAGGAAACTATATTGGTCTTCTTTATTACTGTTCCTTTGTCTCACACCTCTGTTTACTCTCTCTAATATGCATTTCTTCTATTTTCTTCTCTTTCTTTGTGTGCTACAAGGAGGGAGTGTGGCGACTTGAACTGCCGCACACCGGTGCAAAGTTCTATCTTGAAAACAAACAGACAGACAGACTAGACAGTACAGCTGTTTCACACTAGTTTAGGACAGTTTGGCAATACTCATCCATCACATACTCTACTTACTGTAAGCGATCGAACTCCAAGTCTTCAGATTACAAAGGCAAACACGTTGTTCAGATCATTCATTCACCTACTTGGTCCTGAATTTGAATGGCCCATGAATTTTTACTACGGCTAATTCTCAAAATATATAGTGCGACGGAACGCGGCGCCCACCAAATCCAACGTGAAAACAGATACTCATCAACGATACTGACTAATGGGTTAGTAGTTACAGAGGCGAAAAACGTAACAACTGTCAATATAATTACTCATGCTATTTTGTGTTAATTTCCTACCCGTTTAGGATTCAGTCGAGGGAGGGGGGGCGAACGCGGTAGGTGGGTTGTTAGCAGTCAATAACTTACCCTAATGAATGATTGAAAATCCTTAAGATTCGATTTTAAAGCAGTAGTATACGATTGAATCAATTCCGGAGATAATTGTTGTCTTGGTAGAAAATAGTCTTTTAAATAAGTATGAAGGCCATCCTGTCCAAAAACCACAAAGGAAATAAAATAAAATAAATAATTACATCAGGAGAATTGGCAGGATAGATAACAAAAGTAAACAGGTTAAATAAATGCATTTCAGTTATAAAAACAGTTATTTTAAGTTTGTTTCCATGCTTTTCCTGCTCACATTTACAATTCGTTTGAAATAACTATTTTACAATTATATCCCTATCCTGTGCAATTTTTGTGTTTCTAAGGCTCCTGTAATCTATATATTCACACCCCCTAACTCCCAACTCAAGTTGAAAATTATTATTTCAATTTTGTTTCCATGCTCATCATTTACACACTTGTTATCCGTTCTAATCCTGTGTTAATAATTTTGTTTCTACCCAGATCTAGTTGAAAATAATTGTCACCTTTTATTCGCCGTCGTATCTATGTGGAATCAAATAAAACAAATTGTATTCATGTGAAATTATGTAATTAAATGCGATTGTACAGGTGTTTTTTGAAAATGACATCACCGAAAAGATTAACAACTGTGCTGAACTTCGTGTTCTCTTCTTTCTAATGTCGAGAGTAAAACACGAATGGGGCGAAAACGAGTTGAGCATGTGTCCACAGGTGATAGCTTTAATACCTTTAATTATATTATTATTATTATTGTTCCCTTGGGTTCCTAGTGGAACATAGGGCTTCAACTGCACGCCTCCACTTGCTTTTGTCTTCTACTGTACTTTTCACCTGCATCCATGTTAACCCATACTGTTTCAACTCCTCTTCACACGATCTCCTCCATGTCACCCTTGGACATCCCACTCGCCACTTCCCTTTCGGCTTCCACTCGAGCGTTGGCCTGACGCGCGATGTCACCCAGCGGCCTCCTCAGCGAATGTCCAATCCATCTCCACTTTCTCCTACATATTTGTTGAGCGATTGGTTCTTGTTTTGTTTGTTCCCATAGTTTCTTGTTTGTGATTCTTTCTGGCGGCCATCTGATCTTCAGTATAGAGCCAGCGAAGACAGTTGTTGATAAAGGTCTGCAACAGGCTGTTGGAAATATTCTTTGTGACACACTGGCCAAGTTTCTGATCCGTACGTATAGAAGAACTGACTGACTTGACGTCTGTATTGAGAATCCGAATTTTGTTGTTGATGCTGAGGAGTGACGAAGATTTCCAGGTTGGTTTCAGGTTGATGAATGTGTTTCTCGCCTTCCCGATTCTCGATTTGACATCCTCGTCCGTTCCTCGTGTAGTTGAGACAATGCTCCCTAGATAAGTGAATGAAGTAACCTCTTTCAAATCCCTCTTGTTGATGGTGATTGACGCTGGATGTTGCCGCTGTTGTTGTTGTTGGTTGGTTGGTTATTTTCATAACCTCCGTCTTGTCTATGTTCACCTGGAGTCCTGTCTCCGCCGGCTGCTTCTTCCACCAGTTTGTCAGTTTTCGCTTGCAAGTCTTCGATATTGTTTGTGACATCAAATATAAACCATCCACACGCGAAATCCAGGTCTTCTAGGTTCTTCACGTCGGTCAGGACAGGATATCCGTGTCTTCTCGTTTCCCACTGTCTGACACATAATCCAGTCCACCAAAATAGCTGTGCCACCGACTCACAAATATAGGCAATAGTGAAACTAACTGAAACTAATAATTGTCGAGAAAAACGGAATAGGTGGAGATGTCCCACTGAAGTCGTATGTTCCACTGGCGGGGACGGGGGCAAACTTAAAGGAATAACAATAATGATATATGCATTACAAGCAATAAAAACTCACCTGTTTCTGTGATAAAATATATAGGCACTCAGAAATTTTATCTAAAATCAATATGAATTGACCATCAGTTGTATGAAATGCAGGAGAGATTGGAGCAAGTATACAAAATGGAATAAAGTGTAACAATAGAAAATCTTCATAGAATCGTGTATCATGGCCAGCTGATTGTATTAATTGTAAAAATAATATTATGCCTGAGCGTAGACCAACTGGATCTTCACATTCTAGGCAGGCTTGAACTTGTCCTAAAACTGTGGAAAGACTCTGAAAAAGAGAAAACGAAAAGGTTGATATAAAAAGAGCAAATAAGATACAAGTAAACTCAAAATAAAACAACAAAAATAAAGTAAATTATTTTATTTTTTTATGTTCAGTGATTATGATTTATGTAATTTACGTAACTAAGCAACTATGAAAAGCCTTCTACTTCTAATACCACCATGCTGATTATAATAATAATATTAATATCAACTGACTAGCTTAAAATCTATTATTGAAACAAGAATTTTCAAATATTGGTTTTGTAGGAATTTTCTCATTTGATTGGTTGGCGCGGATTTCATCACGAGCTGACATCAGTTAGAGAACAACCATTGGAAAATATACAAGGAGTACTGGACAGCCGCGTTTCAGCCTAGCTTGGAACTCCTCAACAGTACACACCCACCGCCACGGTTTGAACCCAGGACCTTCTAGTTACAAGGCTACTGAGAGCCGATTCAATGACCAGCCGGTGAATTCTAACTTCTGCCAATTTATGACATTTGCGACCACTTTGCAATGTCTTCTTCGATGAGTTATTGCCTCATCTCCAACCTTGTGCTTAATGGTTCCACCAGCTCGCTAGCCTGGTAACCAGAAGGTCATGGGTTCGAACCCTTGCGGGGTGGGTGCGTACTGATGAAGAGTCCTATGCTAGGATGGAACGGCTACCCAGTACTCCTTGTTGGTTTCCCAGTGGTCCTCTAACTGATGTCAGCTCATGATAAAATCCCCAATTCAATGAAACAAGAATATTTGCAACTTATCTTTATATGTAGAATAGATAAATTAGTTGGCCTAATATGATGATCAATATTGTGACTAGGTGTCGAGTATTATTAGGTGATGAGAGTAAGTCGGTCGATCGATCGATGAGGTAGTGAAGCTACATCGTTTGAGACGGTTAGGACATGTGTTACTATTCATGCCAAGCCATCAATTCGTGAAGTCTTTGACTGTTTGGTTTCAGTCACACACACACACACACAGATGCCGACTGGCTAGCTGGAGCCGTAGGGATATTAAGAAGCAAATGGCTTGAGACAATTGGTGATTTAGTTGGAAATCGTTGTCACTGGTGCAAATGGATTTAGTCTTCATACTCTCATATATATACTTACTAAGCTGTCATATTTTCTCCACATTATTACTGTTCTTTTGAATCCCTTTTGTCTACCTTTGTGAGTTGCATGAAGTGTGGCAATTTGAACTGATGTTCAAAGTTCTGTGTCGAAACTCAGTCAGTCAGTCACTGGATGACATGAAATCGCACCTCTGAAGCGATAACAACTCCTTCGATGTCACAGATACTCCTCCATACTACAACTGAAACAGGAGTTTGAAAGCCAATCTTCATAAGTAGAATAAATAAGTTACAGAGTCAGAATAGCTTGATGTTGAAACGTTATCCTAATTCCCCTTAGGTTTTGAATACAACATGCAGCTACAATAGAACATCTCTATAGTTCAATCGGTTCTCTGCAGTCCTCTTTATTCAGCTGACACCACGATTGATCACACACACAAGCTATCATCTCCTCCTTCTTCATATGATGTCCTTCGAGAGATGACCTAGCACACGTCGCTGAATGATCTCTTCAGATTATGTCCAAACCATCTTCACTTCCCTCGGGATACTACTTGTTGGACTATGACGTTCTTCGTTGGTTTGTGTCTCAAATTTCTTTCTGCTAATCCTTTCTGATTGACCATTTAATCTCTAGTAAGCAGCAGAGGCAACACACTTGATAAAAGTGTTAAGCCTGTTCGTGAAGCTTACAGTGACACACCAAGTCATTGTTGAAAATCCAAATCTTATTCTTTATTCTGAATGCAGCAGATTCCCTAAGTGATATCACAGAATAATGAATATCATCTGTCTTGCCTTTCCAATTCTGATCTTGACATCCTCATCCATGCCGATTGTGTGCAGTTGAACCAATCAATGCTTCCTAGATTATAGTGAAGAAGGTAACCCCTTTCAAACTTTCCCCCCTTGATAGTAACTGGTGCCGGTTGTTGTTGTTGTTGGTCGGTTATTTTAATCACCTATCTCTTCTTTATGTTCACCTGGAGTTCTGTCTTCTCTGCCTGCCTCTTGTTGGTCTTCGCCTATAGGTATTCAAGTTAGAATCTCCTAGAGTCTTCTTGCAGGCCGAAAGTATTCCTGAAATATTTGGAACTGCCCAACTTCATCATTCCTTATAAACAAACAGATCAGGACGCTTGGTTAGAAGTTTCACGAAAGTCCGCCAGTGATCGATAGGAACAGAAGTAGCCAGTTCAACAATAACTACAGCATATATAACGTAACCAGATATAACACCCATTAACCCTAAAAAATGATACAAACTTTTTACCCACTGATATGTTGTCATTAACAATACGGGACAGATAAGGTCACTTTCAATGAGACTAAACTCACCACCAGGAATTAGGTGAGGTCTATGGGGTGCACCGGATGGGAATCAAACCCGCACCTATTGTGGTGGCGTGGTTGGAGAGCATTCTACCATTGAGCCACCGGCGAACCCAAGTGGCCTAGTAGACAATGTTTGGTGTTTGAAACGAAGGCTACGACTGGGTTCAAGACAAAGTGAGAACAATAGCCTTCACTGGGAATCGCAGGTACACCTCTAGTCGACGAGTCCCGGATGGCAAAACGTTTGCAACACCAGGTATACCTAACAAAATCCCTTGGAGAAACATCAAAGTAATGTCATCCTATCACAACACAACAAGTGAATTGATTTCCATTATCTAATAGTTCATAATAATAAAACATGGCACTGCTATCTAACGAAACTAGTAATATGTGTCTTCATAACACTATGCCTAAAGGTTCAACCAATCCTGAGTCAGGACAGAAATGATACCACTATTGAATGCTCCAAAATTAATATAAAATATATACGAAGTGTCTCTAGCAGTTCAAGTCCTATCAACTGCCTTTTGGAGCAAACACAGGAGTCAGAAAAGGGTGCTTATTATCACCAATGATATTCCTAATTGTGGTGGACTGGATTATGCATCAGACAGTGGGAAACGAAAAGACAGGGATATCCTGTCCTGACCGACGTGAAGAACCTAGAAGACCTGAATTTCGCAGGTGGATGATTTATGTTTGATGTCACACAAAAATCGAAGACTTGCAAGCGAAAACTGACAAACTGGTGGAAGAAGCAGCCGGCGGAGACAGGACTCCAGGTGAACATAGACAAGACGGAGGTTATGAAAATAACCAACCGATCAACCAACAACAGTAGCAGAAACATCCACCGCCAATCACCATCAACGGGAGGGATTTGATGAAAGAGGTTACTTCATTCACTTATCTAGGGAGCATTGTCTCAACTACACGAGGAACGGACGAGGGTGTCAAATCGAGAATCGGGAAGGCGAGAAACATATTCATCAACCTGAAACCAATCTGGAAATCTTCGTCACTCCTCAGCATCAACAACAAAATTCGGATTTTCAATACAAATGTCAAGTCAGTCAGTTCTTCTATACGGATCAGAAACTTGACCAGTGGGTCACAAAGAATATTTCCAACAGCTTGTTGCAGACCTTCATCAACAACTGTCTTCGCTGGCTCTATACTGAAGATCAGATGGCCGACGGAAAGAACAAGAACCAACAAGAAACTATGGGAACAAACAAAACAAGAATCAATCGGCCAACGAATATGGAGGAGAAAATGGAGATGGATTGGACACTCACTGGCTGAGGAGGCCGCTGGGTGACATCGCGCGTCAGGCCAGTGCTCGATTGGAACCCGAAAGGGAAGTGGCGAGTGGGACGTCCATGGGTGACATGGAGGAGATCGTGTGAAGAGGAGTTGAAACAGTATGGATTAACATGGACACAGGTAAAAAGTACGACAGAAGACAGAAGCAAGTGGAGTCGTGCAGTTGAAGCCCTATGTTCCACTAGGAACCCAAGGGGACAATAAATAATAAAATAATAACTGCCTTTACACTTTGGCAGCTGGAGATTTCATCACAAAAATGGAAGGGTGAATGAAAACATCTGGTTCTTACAACTAGTGGACTAGTGCACAGGCTGGTTGACTTACGGCAGCTAGAAAACCCTGATGATTCAAAACCTATAGTGTACATGAACCTCCAAAAGCCCAACGGATCGAATAGTATATGAACCTGTTCTCGTCACTGGCAATCATATGAACACAGCTCCACTACCTTTTGGATCACATTTTAAATCAAAGGCTTAGAGAGTGGGGATGAAGGCGGGTAGCCCCTTAAGACAACCATCTAATTCAGTCTGGGCGTCCAGGTAGCATGATACTCAAACATACACATACACACACACACACACAAAATCCATTATTCGCACTTCTGTTTGTGAAAGCTGACTTCTTTTACATCTAACGAGGAGTCTGGGGACATTTTGATGCGACGATAAATGCACTTCTCAACATTCAACAATGAGAAGGACAGTGATGATTAAACGGTATATATCAATTTAAAAGTCAACTGATTCAGCTCAGTGAACACGTTTCAATTTAAATATCAAAATACAAACAAAAGCAACGACACTAAAACGTCTGAGCTCATCCATAACAATGTTACATTTGTCTATCTGTACAATATAGAGTTCGTCATATACATGGCTAAATGGTTGACAGGTCAACGATCTCGGTCTTGTTACCGGAAGGTCCTGAGGTTTCCATCGTTAGAGGTGCGGTCGTAGGCACGTACTGCTGAAGACACCCAAACTAGGGCGAAATAGCTGCCAAGTACATCCTGATTCAGGATGTTAGAGGTTTCTGTATTTGTGTATCACGGAGGCATTAGCAATTTATCAATATAACCACGAACTGTGTGTATTGCTTCTTATTCTACTATGGTCATATTCTTATTATTGTTTCCTTCAGTTCCTAGAGGAACATAGGGATTCAGCCTCATGTCTGCAATGCGTTCGGTTCTCTGCCAACGTTTTCACCTGGCTACATGTCTGTCCATGTCTGCTCTCATCTCCTATTCGCATGACGTCCTCCATGCCACCCTCGCACTGATGACCAACTCGCCGCTTTCCATTCGAGTTCTACTCGAGCGATGGCCTGGTGTGTGATTTCGCTTGATGGTTTGTTTTCTCAGAGTATGGTCACCAATCCACCTCCATTTCTTCCTGCATATTTGTTTCACAATCGGTTCTTGCTGCGTTGGTTCGTTCATCGACAGGGATCTCTTCGTGTTGCTGACGATTTCTGGCCATCTGATCTTTAGTAGTATTGAGCGAAGACAACTGTTAATGAAGGTCTGTAGTTTGTTTGAAGTGCACTTCGTGACGTGCTGGCCAAGTTTCTGATCCCTGTAGTAAGTAGCACTGACTTCACATTGGAGTTGAAAATCCGGATCTTATTTTTCATGGTGAGTAGTGCTGTTGATCTGCACACAGACTTGAGGGTAATGAAAACTTGCCTTGCTTTCCCAATCCTCGCTGCCTTGATATCCTCGTCAGTTCCGTCCGCCTGTAGTTGAAACGATGTTTCTCAGGTAGGTCAGTGAAGGTGGTTTCTTTCAGATGTCTCCTATTTATGCTGATTGTTGTTTGTTGTTGTTGTTGCTGTTGGTGTTGGCCAGGAATCTTCATCACCTCTGTTTTCTCTATGTTCACCAGAAGGCTTATCTTTCATGTTTATTTTTCTGTGAACTTGTTGCTTTTCACTTGCATATCTTCCGGTTTGTGGGAAATCAGTAAGTTTCCCGTTGTGGATTACTTGGAATGCACCATTGTCGTACAGCTGTTGGATGAGATGTATTATTGTCGGTGGCACCCCGAGGTAACGAAGTAGTTTCCAAATCACCTCTCGATCGACACTGTCTGCTGAAGGCCTTTTCAAAGTCAATGAAGTTGAGATAGAGAGGTGACTGCCATTCCAAGCTTTGTTAAATGATGATACCCAGTGTGGCAATTTGATCAATACATGACTTGTTTCTCCTGACTCCAGCCTGTTCCGGTCGAAGTTTTTCATCAAGGGTGGCGTGTTTGATTCTCTCCAGGATGATGCGGCTTAGTATTTTGCTTCAGATGGACAGGAGCATAATTCCGCTCCAGTTCTTGCATTCACCCAAGTCTCCTTTCTTTGGTAGTTTGAATAAGTATCCTTTCTTCCAATCCTCAGGTACCATGCCCCCTCTTTCCACACCTTTTCCAGTAGTGAAGTGATCAAGTCCACTGATATCTCTGTGTCCATTTTCAATACCATCTTCTGGGATTCCATCTGGTCCTGCTGCTTTTCCAGTTTTAAGCATCTTGATTGCCTTCAGGATTCCTGCACTAGTCGGAGGGTTGATGCCTACTGGTAGTTCTGCTTCCGCTGTTGGTATTATTGGGCGCGTTGTGTGTGGTGGTCGATTTAGAAGTCTTTTGAAGCCTCCAGCCCAGTGTTTCCTTTGCTCCACCTCTCTGGTGATTGACTCTCCATCCTGTCATCCTCCACTGGCTTAATTTGTGTAGAACTTTTCTCCGATAGAAATCTAGTTGTTTGGTAGGTAGAGTATTGCGAGGTCTCCTATGCCTGCACTGCAGCTTGCTCTGCTTCACTCACCATAATTTTGCTTAATCGTTCGCTCTTATGTACGCCTGTGCAATAGACAACAGACAATAAGCGTGCAGTCAAATTATTAACCAGAGAACAAAAAAAAAACAACAACTCACTTGTACAATATTTTCACTAATAAGCTGTGAAAATACATCAGGTACTGACTGATATATACTTTGTAATAACTGGAGATAACCACGACGTAGAAGTTTTCTTTCTTCACTTAATGTTGGTTGATCTGATGGAAGTGGTTCATTTAAAGCATTCATGATCGCTTCCAATAGACCTGGCAGACACGTCGACAGGAATGGAATACTTTGATTCTACAAAAGAGAACAATTACAAAACACAGGAATGTGTTAGAGATAGCAGATAGAGTCATTAGAGAGGCTGTATTAGTTACTATCTATCTTATACAGAAGGAACACATTAGAGGCCTTAACGTGGGACTCTCAATGAGGCTTGAATCAAGGTGGTATTTCAACTAACCAACCATCCAACCAATCTCCTCCAGGATAATGACAACCAGGTTCAACTCAAAAGGAAGGAAGGTTACAATCATTCAATGCTATGCGCCTACAAACATCTCAGAACAAGAGAAGAAGGAGGATTTCTACAGTCAACTACAAACAGTAATGGACAACGTCCCAAATGGCGATATCAAAATCCTGATGGGTGATATGAATGCGAAACTGGGAGGAGACAATACAGGAAGAGAACTCACCATGGGTCGTGAGGCCCTCGGTGAAATGAACGACAACAGTGAACTCTTCTCAGACTTCTGCACCTTCAATGATTTGGTGATTGGTGGCAGTGTGTTTAAACACAAGGATATAGACAAGGCAACATGGATTTCACCAGATGGACACACCAAAAACCAGATAGACTTCATCTCAACACTCAAGGAAGTGGAGACGGAGCCTACTGGACACAAGGTCGAGGAGAGGAGCAGATGTGGGTTCAGACCACTATCTAGTACAAGGGACTTTCGAGGTGAAGCTAAAAGCCTCGAGGATAGCTGGGGATAGGCCACAATGCAAGTTCAACACTCAATAACTGAAGGACACAATCACACAAGACATTTTCACTGCAACTGTCAGAGCAAAGCAGGAAACACTACGTGGCACCACTGAGGAATCATCCGTGGAAGACCATTGGAACTCCCTGAAGGTAATTTTCAACGAAACGTGTTCAACGGTTTTAGGAAGAAAGAAGAGACAAGACAAGGAATGGCTCTCAACGGACACTTGGAAGCTAATAGAGGAGAGGAGAATGGTGAAGGAGAAAACGATTCAATGCAAAGATGGACAAGAGAAAGAGACGCTGAGCTAAACTTATACAGCACTGAACAAAGAAATGAAGAAGAGTGCCAGGAAGGACAAAAGACAATTCTACGACAACCTGGCCACTGAAGCTGAGAAGGCAGCAAGGGAACAGTAATAATACAATAATAATAACCAACCAGTTCAATCAGAAATAAACTTTGTCAGTTTAAAGATCCGATAGATCTAATTAAGAAAAATAATATAATTTAAAAAATACCATGCTATGACTCTGAGATCAATTACACACACACACACAAAGTTCAAACTACTAGATCAGGGTCAATTAGATTATTGGAACGTAAAAATTTAGAGAGACCTCGAATGATTGACCCTAATAAGTTAAATAACCTAGAAAAAAACAGAGCTCAGCCATTGCAGTGTTTTCACTTGCATGTAACCACACAATACGGTGGGACAGGGTGACAACATTAAAAAGTAATACAGTTGGGCAGAGAAAGGGTAGAAAGAGGTTAATCACTCAATCTTTGTTTATCGATTCAACACCGCATATGTACAGTTAAAATGACGCAACGCCTACACCGGAGATATGGAAACTGGCAGCGAATCCGTGTGGATCACATCATAAGATATTGAGCAATAAATTATGCTCGTAACGTCATCCAGTTAATAATACCACATGGCTGTGTGAAATTTGAAATAAATTTATCTAATATGCAATTACAGAGAATTTTAGCTTGAATGTAAAACATTCGATCGTATCAGGTTACAGGTTATATGCGGTGGACAGTTGATCATCATCAAAATCCTTGGCAGCGCTCACAAAAAACCGTCAAATGAGTGTTTGTCAACTCGCATTATAGCTGACAATGCTATTGTTTACAATAAAGAGACAGATCATTCAATAGTTTAGGTTATAAAACATCAAAAGCTGCGTTTGAAACTATGATTACTGGATTCGAGTCCTAATGAGAACACCATCATTTACTCCCTCACTGGGGGGAAGCAGATACATCCAGTTGACGGGTCTCAAATATTTTTTTTAATTTATTTTTGATTACAGCTTGATTTCACACCGTATTTTTGGTGCATGTATGAAATTTTCAGCATGTGATATCGGTAGTCTAAATTTTGCAGGCCGACCATTGATATCAGGTGTGTGTCGGCAGGGGATCGGACCCCGGGCCATGTGCATGGTCGGCGAGAGTCCTAACCACTGTGCCACCAACGCATAAATACTCTGTCCGAAGGCAGAGCTGAAAAAAATGAGGTAAGACTCATTGTATTGTGCCTCCACACGGAAATCTTTAGTAAGAGGCGAAAGATTTATCCGCAAATGAGGAGACACCAGGACGAGATGCGGCACGCCTCTGATTCCACTGATAGTTGTTACCATCTACTAAATTACTTCAAGTCAGTCCTCAAGCATCGCCAAAGCATCCGCGCACAAGCACCAGCGACATGTTAACCAACAGAGGTCGAACATTTAAGTAAAATCATTCAACGGGGAAATAGAAATAGAATCGACAATAAACATTAGCTGGATATATATATATATATATATATATATATATATATATATATATATTGATGTATCTGCACTCCCTGTGTAAGTGTACTAAGATAAGCGACGCCAAAAAAGCTAAAACAAAATAACTACGCAATACATTTTCTTGAATGCTGAATACATTTTTCTGCTCTTAGTAAATCAACACTCATTGGAATTAAAACAATTGATCGCTTTAATATATATATTTAGATATGGGGTTATTGTATGCCTTTTCCTTGTTTAACCATTGTTCTGCATAAAGCTTTATTTGTTCTATATGTGGAAGATTAATGCATTGCCTTGGGGAGGGGTATAGGTATGAAAAGGAAGTGTCCCAACTCAAATCTCCACCTACATTCATGTAGACAATCAATCAATCAATTAGAGCATTGCTAGCCCCCTGTCTTTGTGTGACTTGAAACTTAGTGGAGGATGACAATGGAAAGTCACTCACCAAAGAAGTGAAGCAAAGGAGACACTGGGCTGAACACTTCAGAAGACTTCTAAATCGACCGCCACCTACAACACGCTCAATAATACCAACAGCGGAAGGCGAACTAACAGTGGGCATCAATCCTCCGACGAGTGCAGGAATCCTGAAGGCAATAAAGGTGCTTAAAACTGGAAAAGCAGCAGGACCAGGCGGAATCCCAGCAGAGGTATTGAAAATGGACCCCGAGACATCAGAGGACCTGATCACGCCACTACTGGAGAAGGTGTGGAAAGAGGGAGAGGTACTCGAGGATTAGAAGAAAGGATACTTATTCAAACTGCCAAAGAAAGGAGAGCTAAGTCAATGCAAGAACTGGCACGGAATTATGCTCGTGTCCATCCCAAGTAAAATACTAAGCCGCATCATCCTGGAGAAAATCAAACATGCCCTGGATGACAAACTTCGACCGGAACAGGCTGAATTCAGGAGAAACAAGTCATGTGTTGATCAAATCACCACACTACGGATCATCATTGAACAAAGTTTGGAATAGCAGTTACCTCTCTATCTCAACTTCATCGACTATGAAAAGGCCTCTAATATTGCAGCGTCGATCGAGAGGTCCGTTGGCAACTACTTCACTACTACGGTGCCACCGACAATTATACATCTCATCCAACAGCTGTACGACGACAATGCTCCATGCCAAGTAATCCACAACAGGAAGCTTACGGAATCCTTCGAAGTGAGGAGAGGAGTAAGACAAGGCTGCCTACTATAGCCAATGATTTTCTTGATTGCAGTAGACTGGATAATGAGACAAACAGCGGGTCGGGCAATGAGGAAACAGGCATAAAATGGACTCACACAAAAAACTTGGAGGATCTGAACTTCACCGATGATATATGCGTGATTTCCCACAAACCGGAAGATATGCAAATGAAAAGCAACAAGTTGGCGGAAGAAGCATCAAGGGTAGGACTTCAGGTGAACATAGAGAAAACAGAGATGATGAAGATTCCTGGCCAACACCCACAGCAGACAACAATCAGCATAAATAGGGGAAATCTGAAAGAAATCCCCTTCACTTACCTACCTACCTGGGAAGCATCGTTTCAACTACAGGCCAACGAAACTGACAAGGATATCAAAGCAGCGAGGATCGGGAAAGCAAGACAAGCTTTCCCTACTCTCAAGTCTGTGTGGAGGTCAACAGCACTCAGCATCAAAAACGAGATCCGCATTTGCAACTCCAGTGTGAAGTCAGTCAGTGCTACTTGCTATACGGATCAGAGACTTGGCCAGTGCGTCATAAAGAGCACCTCAGACAATTTACAGACCTTCACTAACAACTGTCTTCGCTCAATACTATTCAAGATCAGATGGCCAGAAATGACCAGCAACACGAAGGGATCTCTGGCAATGAACGAACCAACGCAGCAAGAACCGGTTGTGAAACAAATAGGCAGGAAGAAATGGAGATGGATTGGCCATACTATGGGAAAACAAACCATCAAGTGACATCACAAGACAGGCCATTGCTCGAGTGGAACCCGAAAGGGAAGCGTCGAGTTGGTCGTCAGTACGAGGGTGACATGGAGGAAGCCATGCCAAGAGGAGATGAAAACGTGTGGCTAGACTTGGAGCCAGGTGAAAACTCTAGCAGAGAACCGAACGCAATGGAGACGCACGGATGACGCCCTGTGTTCCTCTAGCATTTAAAGGAAACAGTAATAATAATAACAAATAAGCGTTGATAAATAAATACTAGCCATTTCAAAAAAAATAATCCGTTATCGCATATACCTTATATCTGAGTAGTACTTGTGTAACAAGTGGTATAACATCTCTGATTTCTTTCCAACGTTGTTCAGCATCCACCATAATATCCGATAACTGATGACTACCACCACCATTATAACATGAGCTTGTAGTAGATCGTAAAGGTTTCACAAGTTGGGGTACAGCATCTACAAGTGCAGCCAATAACATATCCGAAGTTACAGAGCTGCTGGTGTTCCCAGATTCACCTGGTGCGGATGATGCTGGTGATGGTGATGGCATAATACAAGCCACCATACGATGAAGGAAAGCACGAACTCCAGCACAAGCAGCTTGTCGTCCTGGACTAGCCGCTTCTGTAGGAAAACGTGACAACTCTGAAATGATAAGTCGCATTGCATCGATTAAGACAGCTTCACAACCTGAAGTGATCACTGATTTTGGCTGAGAAAACACTTTGGTGGTTCTTCTACAATAACAACAAAAAGGAAACAAAACAAGAAAATGAACACCGTTTAAAGGAGGTGAAAGTCACGCGCGAATATACAGTGAAGTGACTAATGCTACCAAATAAGTGAATAAAAACCCCGTTTATGCTGCAAAAGAACAAGAACTTAGGAGGATCCAAACTTTGACAATCACCGCTTAAAATAAATATGAAAATGTACAACAGATAATATTATACAAGTATAAGCAACACATTTCTTTGAGATTCGAAAAAAAACTTTTCTTCTTTTCTAAACTTACTTACTACTGAGAGAGTTTTCCAACATAGAACTTTGCAGAGAAGATATTTAAAAGGAGTATAAATGAACAGATATGTGAGGGAGAGAGAGAGAGAAAGCATAGTATAACATAGAAGACATTGAGAACAGCTTTCAGATATATCATCAATAGTCTTCAGTCATTGATTCTTAGCGTCCTGAGGACTTCAATCAAACAGATGTCTTCTACACCTGTCTACATGGCTCATACCAATTATTAAAAACTTTAATGATGAACTGATGTCAATCTCTTTTCCAATTTTCAATGATGAGATAGCGCTCAGGTGCGCAGCACATTTCCTAGCCATCTAAATCGACGATGCAGGTTTCACAACCTTATCGATTTACTAAGCCTCCTAAAGTAACAAGCTATATCTAACCTCAATATTACTTAACATATTACAGTAATTAACACGAGTCAAAGGCATCGAACATCATAAATTCAGTAGTAAGTCTGTCTGTCAGTCTGTTTTCGACATAGAACTTTACACCGATGTGCACCAGTTCAAGTCACCACACTCCCTCTTTGTAGCACACAGAGCAAGAGAAGAAAGTAGGAGAAATGCATATTAGAGACCGTAAACAGAGGTGTAAGACAAAGGTATAGTAATAATGCAGAACAAAACAGTTTCATTGGAAATCATAGGTCACTAGGAGTGGATGCATCGGCGCTAGCCATTGAGAACGATGAGTTTGAGCCATGTCACCAATTGTTTCCAACCATTGGCTTTTACCGTCCCGAGGACCCCAACCAGTCAGGAAGTCTTCACCTTCCTACGTGGCCGGCTTAGACTAACTGTTGTAGATTTCATTGACTGGTGAAGCCATGTTTCCGTTTGACCGCCGCTAACTCTTTTCCAGTCTGATCCATCCTATGTCAGCTAACTTTGCCCGTCAGTCGAAGAAGGCGATGACTACTCATGTATACGTAACACATGTTCTAATCATCTCAGTCGATGTAATTTCACAGCCTCTTCGATGGATTTCCCCTCCTTACCTAGCACTCGACCGAAGCCTAACCTCAATATTGCTCACCTTATTACACCACTTCACGCGGGAGATAGAACGCAGGCACCTATGGTCAAAGACAGCTAATCTTCTCATGTCTTCCACTCTCAATGGTCTCACAGTTAGCCATAAAGGAGGACGGAGCGGACTGCTGAGCAGTGCACCCACCATTTGGTCGATAGCCAGCCGGATATCACGTCTACGCCAGAGACGGTCTAAACTGGCATATGCGAAACTAGCCCTCTGTATCCCTGCTGAGATTTCGTCAGAGATCAACCCGTTTGCACTGGCTGATGGTACTTCCCAAGTAAGTGAAGTGGTCAACGTGCTCTACCACTTCACTTCCTATTTCTAATCTAGGGGTCGGTGTCGTCCAATTCTGCAACGTCATCTTACATTTTACAGGGGCGAATCGCATGCCAAACATACGAAGATTGCAGCTCAGAGTGTTCAGAAAACTCTGCATTTTGTCAGCGTCCTCGCCTAGAAGGACTATATCATCTGCATATAGACAAGACTAGACCAGTCATATAATAAGTAAGGAACGAAAGACAGTAAAGTTGAAGCCTTCAAACAGTAGACACACTTTCTTCCTTACAGCATGTCAATAAAAATACCTCGTAATCAAACCAACACTTTATCATTAGTGTCTCATACTCAATAGCTACTGGCTTTATTATATACAAGAAGTTACCTCTAGTTCTAGTAAAAAGTCGTAGCCACCAGCTGGGTCCATCACCAAGTCAGGTAGGACAACAATCAGTCGTCTATGAACTTGCCTGGCGATTGTGCTATACACATATATATATCGTAAAATGGCAGAAATTGGAATTCATGAACCAGTGAATCCAGTCCAAGTGGTTGAAAGGTCTACAAGCTCACCTTGTGACCTGAAGGTCCCGAGTACGAACCCTCCCCCCCCCCAGTGGATGAGTACTGTCGAAGAGTGGCTGACGAAACAGCTCTCTCCAGTACACTCCAATGGTTCTCTAAGTGATGTCGGTTGGCGACTAAATGCGTAACCAATCAAATCCCTGCATACTAAAACTATTGGAGTTTACAAGAGACACACAAACACAAACAAACACATAATCTAGTGGTCTGCTGTTCGAAACAACATCAGCAGGATGAAAAGTAAAAAATAAAATAAAATAGTCAACACTCACGTGATAAGATCAGTGACTTGTTTCACTAGCACTCCACGTACTTCAGCTAATTTAGGATTTTGTTCCGTGATATACTTTGTAACAAATTGATCATATTGAATCATAACAGGTGTAAGGAGAACACGAAACAATTGTCCAATACGATCACCATCATCTGAGACATTCCCACCAACGCCACTGCCACCGCCACCTGCAATAAGCTGTGCTGCTGCTTCATAGAGAAAACCTTGTTCTGTTATGCCTAAACCAGTCTGGTTAACAGATGACTTGTTGTTGATGTGTCCATTCATAAAAGAAGAAGTAGAAGAAGAAGTATGTCCATTGACCACTACTACTTCACCGTTTAAAAGATTACAGTCTGTTGGTTCAAGAGATAATTCTAGTAAGTCGGACAATCGGGAAAGATATTCTTCTGTATGCGGAAGCAGTGTTTTTCTATTCATTATTTTGAAGGGGGAAAACAGATAAAATGCAGTGTCAGGGATAAATAGATAAATGGATAAATAAATAGAGAAAGAAAATTTTTCAAAAAGAATGGACACGGAACAAAGAGTACTCTTTTCGATAAATTCATCATCAGGTTTTACAATTATATAAACATTATAATGAATGAATGAATTAGTCTTATGAACGACATTCATGTTTAAATAACATCAAATTCATGACTTTATAGTCTCTACTGAGGGCCAGGGCAGTAGTAGGGGCTGGACTTGTTTCTTTTGGACACAGAGCACTGGTTGTTTGAGGCGGATTGCAATAGTCTCTACTGTTCGGAGCATGCGGTGCTTCGACGATTTTGGTAGTCTGCTAGGCACCCGGTATATTATAGAGAAGGATTCTTCTACGCTGGCTTTGTGACCGGTTTGCACCAGATGGTCCAATATCGAGCTGTTAATAGTTTTAACTACATCTTTACTTAGCCATAGTGGGATATGTTCTCGAGCACGAAAAATCAAGTTTTTAGAGCAACGGCCAGTATAACTCGCTCCACAAGCGCAGTTGAATTGGTGAATACAATTATAAATGGCTAGCTAGTCTAGTTGCTTCATCTTTCAGTCGAGGTAGCACTATCGGTCGTGTATAGAATAATACGTGTAGTTCGCCAGCTTTAAAAGTTCTTTGAACTGATTTTCTTAATTTCTTCGTAATTAACTCGCTTGGTATATCGCCAATGAATTGTAGTCGTATATAAAGTGGCTTCTTGTTCACAGATAGTGGGTAGTCCTTTTCGGCTTTCTTTGTCATATGTTTCTTGATAAATTTGTCAGGATAACCATTTTCGATTAAAGTATCATCTGGTGCAAACCGATCACAAAGCCAGCCAGCATTGAAGAATCCTTCTCCATAATATACCGGGTACCTAACAAACTACCAAAATCGTCGAAGCACCGCTTACTCCAAACAGCAGAGGCTATTGCAATTCGCCTCAAACAACCAGTGCTCTCTGTTCAAAAGAAACAAGTCCAGCCCCTAATACTGCCCTGGCCCTCAGTAGAGACTATAAACTCATGAATTTGTACCATTACCTTTCCTAATTCTTCTGACATCCAATTTATTTTATATTGATGCTGTTCAGATGTAATCTATCAATATTATTGATTTAATGTTATTGAAACAAAATTAATGTCGTTCATAAGACTAATTCATTCATTCATTATAATGTATATACAGTTGTAGAGCCTGATGATGAATTTATCGAAAAGAGTACTCTTTGTTCCGTGTCTATTCTTTTTAAAAAATAACGAAAATATAAATAAACAAGAAAATTGAATTTTAATTAGACGATGAGTTATACGTGTTGTGTTGACTGAACTCACTTTATATGTGGAACACGTCTTATCACGAACCCGGGG